AAGTCACAGCCTGTTGGCTCTCAGAAAGACACACGAGGTTGGCCAGATGCTCCGAGCACCCACACTGCGCCTGGCACGCGGGAGATGCCAGTGAACACCCACGCTGGCTGGTAACAGTTGCAGCTCTTGCTCTTCCTTGCTCAGCTCTAGGCTCAGAGTGGGGGAGCCCCACCCTGGTGGCCGAGCTGGCTCCCCTGACCCACTCACCACAGTGTTGTGGGGGAACATATAGCACAGACACCCAGTACCCTCACACAGTGGGGGCTCCTGGTCCCCACCAACTTGGGTATTGTGGAAGGTCTCCTGCGGTTCTCCTTTGTGTCTCTGTGTCTTTGCATTTCAACTGTCAGGAGCATTCTTCCAATTCCTTAGTGAGTCTTAATTTTGGAGCTAATGAAGTGAACTGCCTGCGGTCCGTGTCTCTTTGGCATACATGTTTTAATGAAAAAGGCGTTTAACGCCAGCGTAGTCACTCACCACAGGATGGGCTTGGGGTTGCACCTGTTTAATTCTAGTCTGGGACGGGGCTGCAGTCAGACAGTCTTGCTCTTCTGTCCCCCGGCCATGCTGTTTTGTTTTTGGTGGCTGCTGATCAGCAAGCCCCTGGGCCTCTTCAGTGCTCTCTGCCTCTTGGCCAAGGTCTCTGGACCCATAGGTGCAGGGAGGTGACATAGCAATCCTGCCCAACTGTGGATGGGGCACCTTAGGCAGACGCGTGCCCAAGCTCAGTCTAGCAAAGCAGAGGCAGCTGAAGCTGGCCTGGGGGAGGCAAGTAGACCCCTCATGGTGTTATAGGGTAGCCCAGAGTGGACTGGGCTGCCTGTTTGTGGGGCCTCACCCGCACGCTCACAATTCAGTAATACTGCAGACACACAAAAGGGTCAATAACAGGTTTATTTACAAAAGGGGAAAGGAAGAGGAAACAATCCAGGGAATGAGAGCGGGATACAAAGTAACTGGAATAACTTACTGCTAGGCTGACTGAACACAGAGAGCCATGTAGTCCAGAGAGCCGTTTCCCCAGCCAGTGCTAGAGATGCAATTGCGTCCTATGTATCCCCCAAATGTCCCAGAATTCCTGCTAGCTCCTCCCTTGGGTCCTCGCAGTTCTCTCCCTGGTACTGCTGGGAGTTGTAGTTTCCAATCACTGGAGTAGGGGGTGGAGTCCACAAGACTCTGCAGAGTTCCATCAGGACGTCCTTCCCCTTAACAGTGGGAGTGAAGCCAGAGCCTGGTCCTGAGCCTGCACTGTGCCCTGCTGGCTCCAGCTGGGCCAGGTTACTCACGACCAGGGGCTGCAGACTAAAAAGTCGAGGTGCTTTCTCCTTCTTGTCTAGGGTAGAAACACCCCCTTCTAGGCATCTGCTGTCCCCTCTAGGGTCCAGGAAGGCTCCCCCAGGCTGTGGGGTGTCTCCAGGTGAGCGGAAAGCATTGGGGGGGGGCTGCCTAAGACACTGGCCCTGCCTCACCCTCCCTCTGCTGGTGCATCCCCGGTCTTGCTGGAGATTGGCCACATGGACATCTCAGCTTTGGGGAAACTGTTGTGGGGGGGAGACATCCTAATGAGGGGGCCCAACAGGCTGGTTATTCTGACAGTGTGGTCTGCCACAAGAGCCTGGGCCCGGCCCACTGCCAGTGCACCATCGTTGCTCGGGACATGGATGACCCTGCTGGCTCCATGTTTTGTTACATAAACCACAGGTCAGTCTTAAAGAAATCAGAAAACACCAGGACACAGATGAATCACAGAACTCTGGCTGATAGCAAGATGTGAACTTTAGGCTTGCAAATTCCAGCAGCAAGCCAGGGGCAGAGGGAGCTTCTTGGAAAGGTTGGTTGGATGCAACCTCTTCAGCCAAGAAAGCAGAAACAGAGGTCTCTAAAACATGGAGTGATCAGCCTTGCTCTCATCCCTCTGCCTGCCTGGCGTTTTGCTAGGGGGGCTGGGGATAAAAAGATGAGTGCGACTTGACTCTGGCCCTGTGGGACTCTCTATAGCTAAGGCCAATATGTAAATGGAAGCTGTAATACAGCATGACAAAAGGTCAGCTAGGGAGGTTTTGCAAGAGTGGTAGGAGCCTAGAAAAGGAAGCCTAGCCTGGGGCTAGGGAAAGAGGAGGTGACTCGTGGGGGCACAGAAGGGGCGTGGGTACATTTATGGAATGGACCCATGAGAACTGCCCCCCCACTCTGTCTGACATGAGAAGGTCCGTTCCTACGGGCCAGCCTCATGAGATGGGCAGGGGTAGAGCGTCTCTTCCTCTGCCAGACACTGAGAATGCCCCCACCCTCCGGGACTTCAGGCCAGTCAAGAGAATACTAGAGCTGGTTCGTGCTAAGTCCTGGCGAAGGAGTGGGGTGGTGGGACGAGCTGGTGCAGCTGGCATCCTGGAGCTCCAAGGGGGAGGCGCGTTGGATGGTGGGCAGGCAGGAGGTGCCAGCAGGTAACTCATCCCGAAGTAGCTGGGCGCTGTCCTGAGAGCGCCCTGGGGGCTCAGTCTCATTTAAAGTCCGCTTTAAACAATCAGCATCCTCACCCCATCCAAAAAGGGGCCTCCTCTGCCACTTTGTCTGTTCGATTCAAAGCCTCTCTTGAAGAGGCTGCAGAGTGCCCTGATAGGCCCTTCCATGTGAAGTTGGAGAATGTTTTCCGGTAAAATAAAATCGAGTCCTGTGGTGGTGGACTGTGTCTTAGAGAGGTTAATACGGTTACAGAAGGAATGCTGGGTTTGGTGTTACCACTACAGGGGCGTTCAAAGGGGTGATTTCACTCTAGTCTCTCAGAACCTCAGCGTAAGAGACTGAGGAGAGCTGGGCTGTGCCCTGCCAGCCTTCGCTTTCTAGAAGGGATCTGTTCTGGGGCTCATAGGACGCTGCAAATTGCATGGAGGTTGCTGCACATTAGCCAGAAGGTTCTAGATGCACAACACTGAATGTCCTTTTGGACATCTTTCCAACAACTATACTAGCTTTGCACAGACACTGGACACCCTGAGTCGCCTCCCATCTTGCTTTCAAAGGGCAGCTTGGCCAGCAGGGTGAGGGTCATTCGTGTGCCGGGGCCCTGCCCTGGGACTCCTGATTCTGTCGCTCTCCACATCTCCCGGGAAAGCCTAGTCCATGGCTGAGATGCCAGCAATGAGCAGCAGCGGGAGGATGGCTCGGCGATGCCAGAGTGGGTTCTGTTGGCAAAGCCAGGGGGGTGTTCCTGCCTGTAGGGGTGATGTTAGACACCGCCCGTGATCTGGACTGGCTTTGCTTGCTGTTCATCCCCGTGCGATGCCTGTGATCTACCAATGGGAAAACGTCTCCTGCAGAGAACCAGACCCTGGGAAATCTCATCTGTTGTGATAAATTATTTTTAAGTGACGTAGAAAGAAGGATCAGCGTAGCGAAGGCTGTTGGGGTTCGTTTCTGTTCATTTCTAAGAGCAGGACCGTGAGCATGCTCTTCTGTCCCGACTTTTGTGGGAGGAGGAGGGGAAGGGATTCCTCTGTGGAGATAAGGGACATGGAGTAACTGTGACAAGGAGAGGAAGACACGAGGAGAGCTCCCTTCGGCCCACACTGCTGAGAGGGCTCCCCAGAGACAGAGCGGGGAGCAGAACAGGTGGATGGACTGAAACCCACTGCTGAGGGGGCAGCGGGGAGACAGGAGGGGTCTGCTGAGCCCTGGGGGTCACTCCCTGGCCGGGGATTGAACTTGTGCTGCAGTGGCTGGTGACAGCTTCATAGTGCTGAGGCTTTAACCCCTGCGCCACCAGGGAGGCCCGTCTCCTTGTTTTTCCTGGACATCATGTGGGAAATCTGGACACAAGGCAGAGAGGGCAACATGGACTTTGCCCCTCTCTTGTGAGCCATCCCCTGGACTCAGTACCTGAGGGTGGTGGAGAGGAGGCAGCACAGAACTGGCGGAGCCGCGTCTGGCTCTAATGCAGGGAGCTTCTTGCCACTGAAGGCCATCACGTGCTGGCCACCGCTGATGGTGAGCCCCCTGCTCACCCCGGGGCTCTCACTGCACTTGAGCTGGGCTTGGGGAGACAGGAAAGGACGGGGGGAGGCTGAGAGCCTCTGCTGGGAGGGTTCAGGAATGAGGGGAGGTCGCCACGCCCAGCGTGAAGGGTGAGGGACAAGCAGCAACCCCAGGACCCCTCTCCAGCATCAGTCATGGGCTTCCACCTCCTCACGAGTCTTTTCAGAGACTTGGACCTGGAGCTCTGCAGCTGCAGCAGAGTGAGAGGAAGCCTCAAGGTCTCTGACCTTGGCGGTCTCAGAGCAGGTGTGTTGGGGGAAGGGCTGGCTCAGGACGCCACCCCTCTCGCCCTGCACACTCCATTCTGCAGGGATAAGTGTCTTTGCTCTGGTGGGGAGGACGTGGCCCTGCAGCTCAGCGGTGGCGCCTCTCCAGCTGGAGAGGGGAGAACCGCGGGACAGAGCAGAAGCCGCCAAGCACAGGCTAGATGCCTGCGCAAGGGCGGGCCTGGCCGGGGCCAGGTGGCCGAGGTCCATGTCCTCTTCCTGCCTTACGTCTGTTCTTCCTCTCAACGGACTCAGAAAGACTCGAGTTGGGGGTGGCGCCGGGGTGGGCGATGGGCACATGCGGTGCACACGCACCCGTACACCTGCTTACATGGGCACGGAGCGCCAGCCCCTGGCAGGCGGGGCTCCCCGCCCACCCAGCCCGCCCGCAGGTAGGTATGCACAGGTACAGTGACTCAGGCGCCACACAGCCAGAGTGCCAGGGAGGCAGGCCACGGTGCCCAGACTGCTTCGCGCGGGCCTGCTGGCGAGCTGACCAGGGTCCCAGGCGCGGGGCGCGCCCCCTGCGCAGGAAGCCTCGGAGCGCGGGGAGGGCTGGGGGGCTTGCTTGGGTCCCCGCTCCCCGCGGCTGAGGCAGGGGGCCGGGGTGCCGCACGGCTTTGGGGTGTGGCTGTATTTTCTTGTCTCTCGCTGGGTGGCTGTTCCCGGACCAGACACCATCTGTCTCTCTCTCTCCCGTAGGCACGGTGCTGTTATGTCAGGCAAGCCAGGAGGGACCCTCCGTGTACACTGGCCCCAGTTCTCTTGTATATACTTCCGCAAGTAAGCCCGCGGCGTGGCGCTCTTTTTGTTTTGTGCCATAACTCTGAGTCCCATCACCTTCCTGCCATGTGAGTCCTCCCCGCCCCCCGTGGCTCTGCCGTGACGTCGGCCCAGTGCATGTCTCTGTCCCCACCCCCACCCCGTTGCCTTAGCACCCAACCCCTCTGCTCATCACGTGCGAATGCTCACCCCAGGTGTCCCCGCCATTGTTCGTTACTCGTGACTCGTGTCAGGACGGGCCGGGCCGGGGCCTGGGCGGGTGGGGGGTGCCGGGACACCGGGGCTCGCGGACGCCGCCGCCCCACGATGGAACCGGCCCTGGGACGCACCGCTGTCCACCGCAGGCCTCTCACGCGCACTCTCCCGCCGCTCCAGAGTGCCCGCCCGGTGGGTGATTTGACCACCAGGCTGTGCGGCTGGACAGGAGGAGAATGGGGCTGCCCCGTTTCCCTGGGCCACGGGTGGACAGTGGAGACGCTTTAGCAGCTCGTGCCGGGCCTCGGACCTACAACGGGACCGGTCACAGAGTGGGGTGGACAGTCCAGTCCAAGGGGACCCTGCTGGGACGGTGCTGGGGTGGAGGAATGGGGTGGACAGCCGAGCACGGGCTGCCCGCCCCTCCCCCACCCCAGCCCTTGCCTCTGTCCCACACCAGGACTGTCCACTTGTGTCCCCTCTGTAGCTCCACATGGGTCCCCACTGGGATCACAGTCCTCAAGTGAGCCTGGGGGTCGGGGGCAAGTAGGCACCTTCGGGACTGGCTGGAGAAGGGGCTGGGGCCCAGGCTACGCCTCCTGGGGCTAGAGCCGTGAGAAACAGGCAAAGCAGGCATCTGGGGCCCAGAGGCCTGAGGCTGACTGTGCCTGGCTCGTGCTTGGGCAGCGGTACCCCAGGGCCAGAGCCTGAGGACCAGGAAGGGAGCGGCGGGGCCCTGGCGGCTGCAGACGTGTGGCAGCCAGTAGTCACCTCCCAAGAGCATCTTCTCAGCGGTGCTGAGAAGTTGGGGCGCTCCCGTGACCCCGAGCAGTCCACCCCTGTCCACTCTGGCAAGCTGTGGTGCTTTCTAGAATCAGGAAACCATGGCGTTGGTCATGGTTGGGTCCTCCGATTAGGATTTCATTACCCAAGGGCACATGCCTGACCCTGCTCCATCCTCTCAAGTGCTGCACCAGGTAGGTACCGGCCGGTACTGTTTGCTTTACAGCCGAGGAAGTGGGGTGGGGGCTGCGAGGGGTGATTCTCCCAGGACCATGCTGCCGTCTCGGTGGGCGTCTGCTCTGGCTGCCCTTCCGGCGCAACGGGCTGTGAGTTCAACTTCCTCCTGCCGTGTGGGTCCGTGCTTCTTTGCAAATACTGTTCCCGAGGGGTGTTGACATGCGCCGCCCTTCTAGGGTGGATGTCCAGAGAGGCATTTTGCTGTTTTCTCTAACTGACCCCTCGAGACTGATCTGGATGAAGTGTCCACGCTGCCCAGTGCATATGCTCCCAAGCACCTGTTTATAAAGACTTCATTTGAGTAATTTGTTACTGTGGTCAGTATGTGGGGCTAGCAGCTGCCATCTTGGGCTGGGAGACCTGGTCATCAAAGACTCAACTTCAGATTTCATTACTGAAGGGAACAAAGCAAATTAAACTCAACAAAAAAGCTAGCTTGGGTTGCTGTGGCTCGCGTAAGACGAGCAGGGTAAGCGAGGGTCCCGGGCACCCTGCGAGCTGTCACCTCCAAGCCTGGCACAAGAGGAGACTCTAGCCAACAGCAGCCTGTGTGTTAATTAAGACTTGTGAGCTAACAATGGGTCCTAGATGTTCACAGGATTATAGAAACCAAACAAAGCTGATAAGTGGCAAGGACCTAGTCGTCTGGCTGGCTAACCCTGAAATAGTGATGACCTGGCTGGTAAGAAAAACCTGCTGGTCTCTCATCTAATGTCTCCATTGATGATTGAAAATACAAAAAACACAGCTCCCCTTCGCTGTTAGCGGTGTGAGTTTTTTTCTATGTTTAAGAGTAAAAATTTATAATAATTATAGCCCCTGTATAACGTGTATCCAACACCTTTCATTTTTAAATTGCATCATCAGTCATCTAACCTACACATTTGTCATTCTATTATTTTCACTTACGATCCTGTCATGTGCGCCTTATAAAAATATGTTAATGGACTCATAATAGTCTGTTGTTTAATGATGTTTTATTTTACTCTCCCCCCCCCCAATGTTGGGCGCTTAAGTTGATAGCAATTTTCCAGGAAGGATTGAAGGTAAATAAATTGTATGAAGTTGTTTGAAACAAGCCTGTTAATTGCTAATCCTACTACCCCAAAATAATAATAATAATAAAACCCAAACTACTTTCTTAACCACAAGCAGCTTCACCTGTCGACTCCTTCCGCGAGGGTGTTCAGACAGGCAAGCTCCATCTCTATTTTGTAGCCAACTCTCCACGTGGATGGCTGGACACCCTTAACTATTTCCACCTTGGTCTGTGCAGGGGAGTGAGGAGAGAGGCCGGCCTGCCCCCTGGCACACAGGGCTGTGACTTCCTGTCTCCTTTAGTTCCTTTGTGGACCTGGCTGTTCCCAGTTAGCTACCTTTTTTGGAACATTCTCTTCAGTTTTCTCTTCCTGATGAAGGTGTCTTTTCCAGTAAAAGTCACAGACCATTCTATAGAAATCATTTGCCAGCACATAGAGGGTCCTTTACACACGTGTGTGTGTGCGCGCATCTACATAAATGCACACACATGCACTTGTGTGTGCCTATTCTCACACATGTGTGGGCGTGTGTACCTTCCTGCCTGAGACACACCTACACGTGTAACCCTCAACACGCATGCCTAGCTGCGTTTGTGTGCACACATAGGTGTGTGACCCCATACATGCATGCACACACAGCCATGCACACACATTAGCAACACATGAGCAGTGACCTGAGTTCTTTTTGTCCTACCAGGTCTGACGTATGAGGCCAAGAGCCACGTGTCTTGTCCTGGAGGTCAGTGGTGCAGCCGCTTTCTTCTAAGAATCCGGCTTTCCACCTAAAAGCTGAGGTTTCCTGGCTTCTCAGCAAGCCTGTAGGACACCTCGGCTTATTTAACTTGAAAATGCATGCATTTGTCATTTTTATTTAGCAGTTATGCTCCTGAAGAAAGGTGTGTAAAAAGTGCACTTCTGGAAATAGGAGACTATGTGTTTACTGACTTCCATAATTATTCCTGAGCTGCTTTTTTTTTTTCCCCACGTATCTTTAACTGGCCTTGGATGCTTGAGACTTAAATTGCCCCTCCGCCTAGCCAAATAGCTAATCATCTGTAAATAACACCCTTAAATGCGGTAGGGGAGATGGTTTTGAAAGGAACCCTGCTGAATTAGTCTGTAATGAAAATAATTCCTACTGAAGTTATCTGTTTTTTAAGATGCATTTTTGCATAATGGGTCTATTCCTGCCCCTCTTGAGCACTATCCTAGAAATGTAACCAGGACGTGAAAGCCTGCAGAGAAGGGGTGTCTCCCAGGACCTCACAGCCCAACCCATAGACTCCATCAACCCACATAGTTCCTGCTCTTCCCCTGACGCTATCCTCGGGGGAGGCCTCATTCATGGTGGAACCTGGCACTTAACCACCCTCTCTCATGTCCTCCTCACCACTCTCATCCAGAGACTAAAGCTTTCCAGGGACGTCAATGAAGTCACGCAGAACCCCAGAGATTTAGATATGATGCCCTTGTACCGGATGTCAAGCATTTAACATTAATATTTTGGTCTTAAAATGCTAGTTTTTAATCAACCGAATGAAGCAAAGTCCGATGATGCTATCTGCTGAACAGTAATTTTAATGAATGAGTTGACATTGTGTCTGAATAGCAGGGAGTTTGATGGGAGCAGGCAGGCCTGGGGGGTGCTCTCTGCTCTCCACCTCGGCCAGGTCTGCAGGCTTCTCCGCCGGGGGAAGAGGCACCAGCTGTATTATTGTCAGCACTGTTTGCATACAGCAAATGTTCAATATCCACACAGCTCCAGGCAGAAATGGGCAGATAAAGAACATATCACTTCTCTTCCAAATTAAAACATGACTTCCATTTTTATTAGTTCAAATATCAAGAGGTAAACATTGGTTCCATGTTTGGACTTAGATGAACCAAAGTAACTATCACTGATCCCTCCTTCCATATGGGGTCGATGTTTCCAGAAGCAGGTAAATGTTGCCAGCTTTATTTCATTTTCTTAAAATTTTTATGAATAGATTTTCAAATTACAAGAGTAACATGTTCACTATAATCAGGGAACCTACAGACACACACACAGAATAACCTGGTGACAGTATTCCGCTTTATCCCTAAACTCAGACCCTTGCTCTGTAATGATGCCTGTGCGTGCCTCCTTTCCCCCATAATAACACAAGAAGACCATAGCATACCCATGCATGGGGGAGAGGTGGGGGGGGATCGGCAGTGAGCTGATGCTATCCAGGAGAGCACATGTGTGTGTCACATGCACACTACATGGATGAACCTGTTTTGTTTCACTTCATCCTACATTTTGACTCGTGCTATTAAGCCTCGTGGGGCCATTCTCTGTCCAGAGCCGCCCAGCCCTCCCCGGCTCTGGTCACATCCTGCCCTGAGGTGCCTGTGCTTCATGCATCCCAGCCGCAGACTGGGACTGGTGTTTGCATCCCTGCATCCTCACCAGCACCTGCGTGCTTGGCTCTTTTTAATTTTGCAAGTTGCATGTGTGGGAGACAGCCCCCCCCCCCGGCTGCGTGTTCATCTTCCTCCCTCCAGGGGCCACCACCTGTCATATGCTTATGGTAACCTAGTGCTGCTGCCTCTGGTGCATTTCTGGCCCACACGCACCTGGTTCTCTTCTGCATCTTCCTCATCTTATTTTTAATTCACATTGAGAGAAAAACTGCTCATTCAGGAGAATAACCTGTGGAACTCATCGATGCGGTAGTCACTTCCATTTGGCTCTGTTTATGTTCCATGCTACTATTTTTT